CGGGGACCGTGCCTCTGGACTGGCAGACCGGGGTGGTGGTCCCTCTTTTTAAGAAGGGGGACCGGAGGGTGTGTTCCAACTATAGGGGGATCACACTCCTCAGCCTCCCTGGGAAAGTCTATGCCAGGGTACTGGAAAGGAGAATTCGACCGATAGTCGAACCTCAGATTCAGGAGGAACAATGCGGTTTTCATCCTGGCTGCGGAACACTGGACCAGCTCTATACCCTCTTCAGGGTGGTGGAGGGTTCATGGGAGTTTGCTCAACCAGTCAGAAAAGGGTGGCTTATTCCCTTCAGGTTGGTGGAGAGTTCCTACCTCAAGTGGAGGAGTTCAAGTATCTTGGGGTCTTGTTCACGAATGAGGGAAGGATAAAACGGGAGATTGACAGGCGGATCAGTGCACCTTCTGCAGTAATGCAGTCGATGTACCGGTCCGTCATGGTGAAGAAGGAGCTGAGCTGTAAGGCGAAGCTCTTGATTTATTGGTCGATCTACATTCTACGACTCTCACCTTTGGTCATGAGCTTTGGGTCATGACCGAAAGGGCAAGATCCCGGATACAGGCGGCCGAAATGAGCTTCCTCCGCAGGGTGGCCTGGTGCACCCTTAGAGATAGGGTGAGGAGCTCGGTCACCCGGGAAGAGCTCAGAGTAGAACCGCTGCTCCTCCACATCAAGAGGAGCCAGCTGAGGTGGCTTGGGCATCTGTTTCGGATGCCTCCTGGGCGCCTTCCTAGGGAGGTGTTCTGGGCATGTCCCACCGGGAGGAGGCCCCGGGGAAGACCCAGGACACGCTGGAGGGACTATGTCTCTCAGCTGGCCTGGGAAGGCCTTGGCATTCCCCCGGAGGAGCTGGAGGAAGTGTCTGGAGAGAGGGAAGTCTGGGCATCTTTGCTTAGACTGCTGACCCCGCGACCCGGTTCCAGATAAGCAGAGGAAAATGAATAAATGAATGTCCCATCCCTAATGGCTGCATCTTTTCTTTACTGTTCAAATAAATAAAAATTACTGCTATAAATTAGCTGCAGTTGGCTGGACTCTTACTTTGAAATCTGAGTCTGGAATCCCTCAATCTTGGTGCGTGTGTTGGTCAGAAGCTCAAACACTTTCTCCTGTAAATCAAAAGCACAGATATTAAACTCAGCTGGCTCAATTTAACCTCAAAATATTAGATTAGGAAAATTATACACGCAGCCTTTCAAGACACAGAATACATGAGCTCGTTCTGCTGCATCACCACGTTATCACCAGTTACTAACCTGTACAGCCACTCCAAAGTTGTTACCATCTTCAATTTTAGGAATTTGGAGTTGTACCCACATTGACACCTGCCGGAAAAATACTATTGATTTATTACTTTCTAGGGTAATATGCAAGTCTGTCAGTTATTCTGACCCTAACCCTAACCCATTTAAAGCAAGTGTAAACACATAAAAACACAGATCATTTGTCAAAACGTTCTGTAGCTACTGTTCAACCATGATGTGAGCTCCCGTCTTTGTTACAGAAAACCTGATGGCAGATTCCTTCCTTGTGTTGTGCACTAGATAAGGTAACACCAAGAGACTAATCAACATAGCGACTGACTGACCGCATTGAGCTTCTCCTTCACTGTCTGAATCTCAGGCTTGACTTGCTGCAGGAGACTCTCCACTCGCTCGTTGATGCAGATGGGACCACAGGGAGGCCCTGGAGTGTGACACATCCCCAAACATCACGTCACAGTATCAAAACACAGAGGTTCAGCTGGGTTAGGATTTACTTTACAATACAGAAAATGCACATAAAGCTTTTTACAAACAATGAAAACATTTTTAAAAGGTTCCTTGGGTTCTACTAACTACTAATCCATCCAGGTAAGTCAGTCTGTAAACCACGGCTTTGCTTCTGATTGGTTATAGTTGTAATCCCTTAATTCAATACAGATGGACAAGGAATAAGTAGAAAATCCATAATATTGTGTGGTTCATGATTTTTATTGATGTTTGTACAAAAACCTGTAACCATGTTTGCGGAATAACTACATCATACAGAACAACTTAACTACACCTATATCAGACTTACGTGACAGTGCTGTGTAAATTTTCCCTCACCTGACAATGACCACCTGTACAGAAAATTGGAATCACAGGGGTAAGCAGGAGTAACCTTGAGGAAACTGTGTTGGACGGTGTCTGACAATCACCACGCATAAGAAATGCCCCTTTGTCTTTCACATTCCATTTGTAGTTTATCACTTGTCATACCCATCTCTGTCGTCCATTTACCTGCATCTTCCTCCTCTTTTTCGCTGTCCTTGTTTTTCTTCCCCTCCTTTGCCTGCTTCTGCAATATTAAAGGACAGAAAGCATCAGGTCAAATAACTTCTCACTGCCTCTAAATTTAAGGAAAAGTAACCAGCAGTCCCTGCTCCATGCATACAACCTCCAAAGAACTGTTGCATTATCCTAATGCAGGGGTGTCAAACTCAATTACACAGGGGGCCAAAACTCAAAGCACACTTTAGGTCGCGGGCCGAACACAATAAACATTTATTGAACAGACTAAAACTAAACGTTTTTTGAACATAAATATGAATCGAAACAGGATACAATATTATTCCAAAATAAATAAACTTGAACTTAAAATCAGCAACAATATTTCTGCTAAAGCTTACATTTGCAAACACCTGCTTTTTCCCTGAACACAAGATGTGACACACTTTCATCATACAGCTATTCAGAAACTCTCCCTCGGTAAATGGCCGGGCTCATTTTCTCCTCTCCCGCAATAAAACTTGCTTTCACAGCAGCTTCACTGTGCGATTTCGCTTTGGTGAAAACGTCTGCTGTGAGGTCAGATTCCTCTACAACTCCTCTATCTTCTGTAGCTTCTGCTCTGCATTCACGTTTTTCAGCTTCTCCTGATGTTTTGTCTCGTAGTGCCGTCTTAGGTTATATTCCTTAATTACAGACACATTAGCTCCACAAATAAGACAAGGGTTTACTGGCAACGTCAGTAAACATATACTCAGCCTCCCACCGGTTTTGAAAGGCTCCGTTTTCAGAATCAGATTTTCTCTTGGCCATTATTAGGGGCTAGCTTTGACTTGAAATTAGGGTTGTATACATCAACACTTGATTGATCCAACGTAATTGATGCGGGAATGATCTCAGGTAGCCTATAGTTCAGTAAGGCAGCTGTTGCGCTGCATTATGGGATTTGTAGTTTGAGTGTTATATATAAAATGATCTTACGAGCTGGGTGTAATTGTACGCCGGGCCGGATGTGGCCCGCGGGCCTTGAGTTTCACACATCCTAATGTTTTCATATTCTTCCAGCCCATTTCCCTCTCATAAAACCCACTTGACACTGGCAAATTATAGTCCTTCCTCTGCTAAAACTATGTTTACAATACAACAGCAACTGCCAAAGTTAAAAAGACATGTATAGATGAGAGATACAATAGGAGGAAATAAAAAAATAAATGACTTTTATGTCTACATTAGAGGTCTTCAGAGGTTGCAAAGTTTTGGCCCCAAGCCAAACAGACCTGTGGAAATTTTATGCTGCATGAAGATTCTTCAGGGCATTTCTACTCCTTACATGGGTGTTCTTCCAGTGCTAGTCAAGCACCATTAGGTTCAGTAAAAATAACATTAAGGTGATTTAATTTCAAATAAATACACAATTCCTGGCAGACTGAAGTGTCAATTCAGATATATTTTACAGATTAAACTCTACACGTCCACTCGATGCCCCTTCCTCCCTTTCCTTTTATTTGCCTGGCTACCTCACATCCCTTTAATACACTTAGACATGTTGTTTTGTCAGAAACGGCCAAGAATTCTACTTACAGGAAGAGTAAATTTGATATGCCCCTACAAACATGATGTCATAATTTCCAGTTTTCATGCATGTGTACTTCTGTGTTATGTGGCTAGGTGTAGTGCTGCCACAACGCACCAGAACAACACTCCGCCACTTTTTCTCCGAAAGAGGAAAAAGAATATAATCCAGAATCCACTTGAAATTTATAGCATTTATTACATTTTTGTGGGTGCTTCCAAGATTCAATCATCCATAAAGTGTAAACATTCCACCTTAAACATGGTTGTGTAGCCTTGCAGCCACACAGTGAAGAGGCATATCACTGTGCTGCTAGTTAGCATTAATGAATACAGCTAAAAAACCTGTGCAGGGTACAGCAATGAACTAGTCGGTGTTACAGGTCCTGCAATAATATATTAATGTTACTGTTTATCATTAATTAACATGAATATATAGGATTATCTATGTTAATAACATTCACCCTCTGACAAATGGCTACTAATTTACACTATTATTCTGCCACACCAGAGAATAAAGTCAGTTTAACATTTGATTGTGTAGGCAGTGACAGCTAACTAAATTTAATGTAGGTAAACTTGCTACCATAGGAATGGTGCTTATATGGCCCTCAAAACGAGCCATAACTTAATCATGCACACGTGCATCATAGGTGCACCCCAGTACTTCAACCAATAGCGTTATACTTCCGAGTATAAATAACCTCAGCTTCTACTTGCACAACAATTTTCAACAGGTTAGCTTGTTAGCATCTGTTTAAGTTCACTCTGCTCATTCCCCTTGTTGTTTTGTGACTAGCCTCAGCAGAGGCTGGTGTGTACATGTTTCTGAAATGGTATTAGATATACTAGGATGGATGTGGGTGAAATGTGTCACATTAAGTGTAAAAACGAGACTCCAACAAGATCACAGACATAACTGGCCCACCTGAAGTGGTCGTAAAGCTGTGTCGCTGTGCCTACTGTAACGGTTCCTCTCCATCATGCTTTCCAGCGATACTACATACATACCACCGTTACCTTGTTTAATACGTTTTTTTTTTTTTATTTCTATATGCTTTGAGTCTTGTGAGACTTAGCTTTTATCCTCTTTCACTCTGGGGAGTGCAGGGAGTCCAAGTGTCCTTTTTGGAGAGCCATTTGGATCACTTAATGGAATAAACTGTAGAATTGTTTGTAATATCTTCATCAGATCTGATCAGATCTAATCACTGGTATTTTGTTTACATCCCCATAATATCATTTATCTGGGAATATAAAGCCACGGTCAGTTATTGACACCACAATATATTCAATTTTTTGGGAATAGAGCTGGGTGATGTCTACTGAATTGGCATTGGACAGCATCTACAGCAAAATATCATGATGGATTCAGTGGCACAGGTATATAGCAACAGTTGGTATGACCCAGCTGGTTGTCATTTTAAATAGAAACCGCAACAATCAGCGGGAGCTGCTACCTAAACGATTTCCACCCAGCGCTTTGCTAACAAGATAGTAGGTGTCATTGGCACTGCTTCGGGGGGGTTTCTGGTAAGGCCATATTTATTCATATTGCCAGTGTAGTTTAAGAGCTACATGTATCCCATTTTAACTTTAGCATGTTATTATTATTGGAACGTGTCTTATTGGACATGCTTGGTCCTGTGAGATGCGGAACCTTTGACGGACTGCTGTTTCCTGCGGTAAACCGTACTCATTTCCTGTTTTCTGTATTTGCACTGCGTTGTGCTTGCTTCCAGATTGTTTAGGAATTAAACTCACTATTTTCTAGGTTCATCTGAATTTTTGAGCGACAACATACGCTTGCACCACTTAAAGCACTTGTTTTGCAGAAGTTCCTTCTAACTACCAAATTTAACTGGCTACTTTAGGTCGGCTAGTTTAGAAGCTAGCTAAGCTAGTAGCTTAATCGAGAGCAATGGCTTCCCCCCCTCTTCCTCTTGCTCGGAGTGTCGCATGTTCAGTTATTCCTCTGCCTCCTTTAGCGATAATGGTACTTGTAATAAATGTCAGATGCTAGCAGCATTGGAGGCGAGGCTCACAGACTTAGAAGCGCGGCTACACACCATGGAGAATAGGCCAGCTAGCTATGCCCACGTA